AAAGTAACACTCGCGACGCGGCCCAAGGACGGGTGGGACCCCAAATGTCCAGGTGCAGGGTCTGGAGTGGCGCAGTGGTAGGGGGGAGCGAGGAGGAGTGAGGAGCACGGCGCAGCCGGCCCTCGACGCAGGGTGTGCACGGTGGCGCAGGCAAGGAGCAATGCAGGGAGACCACGGACAAGCCCATGATGGGACATGTGACGCAGGCGCGGGAGCGCAGGGTGACCTAGGCGATGGTGCCACAGCAGTGAAGGGTGGGTGAGCGACCCACACGAGCAGACTGCATCTAACTGAGAGGACGCGGCAACCTAGGGGGACGCTCCGACCGGGGGGACATAGTGTCAGCGTGAACAAGCGAGACACGGGGTCTCGAGGGAACGTAGTAAGAGGGGCACCAGTGGCGGCCTCGGTATAGACCTTGTATCGCTCGTGTCCAGGGAACGTAGTGGTGACGCCAAGGTTCTGAAGACAGCCGACACCAACTAGGTTCCTGGACAACGAGGGGATGTGCAAACCTGCAAGAGAGCCCGAGAGGACTGCCAGACAGGGAAGGGTAGTGGAGCTACGTACGACTATCAGACCTAAGGAGGGGTCAGGAAGCGCTATAGCAGCAGGGGCAGCAAGCGGCGTGAGCGAAGTGTGGTCGCGGAAGAAGGAGGTAGACGCTCTAGAGTCAAGTGTGAAAGAGAGCGAAGCAGTAGCGTCTGCAGTAGCGACAGCTGGCGGGGGGGCTAGGGTAGAGCCTAAGCTAAACCAGGCAGGAGGCCCTATGCCTGACGCAGCAAAGGAACCTAGACTACACATAGGAGGCACATCTACACTAGGCAACACATGGTAATAAGATCTGGCACACTAGATTCATCAGCATACATGATATACATAGCAATCATAATCTGATCCATGTCAAGCTCAAAGACAGACACACGGCGGCGGGCCAGTGCGTACCAGTCAGGAGGGTCCGAGGTAGGACCAAAACGGAGACGGTAGAGGTCGTCGAGGTGGCGGTAGCAGCGGGTGGCGGTGTGACATGGACGGTCGTAGACGGTGCCACGGCGGGGGCCGGTCTGAAGCTGGTACTGGCAGGTGGCCACACTGGAGCCGCCACCCGACACCGAGCTGCGCGGGGTACCACTACGACGACCACCACCAGCGCCACCAGGCCACCACGGCGGAGGGGTTCCCCACGGCGGCTGCAGCTGGTGCCAGCTCAGAGGGGAAGCCAAGGTGGGCTGGCGGCTACGGACATCTGGCGGGCGGGGGGGCTGGCTGCAATGGGCGGTCAGCAGCGGCAGGCGGCTGGCGGCAGCGGGCGGCCAGCGGTGACGGACAGGGGCTAGTGGCAGCGGGCAGTCAGCGGGGACGAGCGGTTGGCGGTAACGGACAGCTGGCGGCGACTGCCGGCCAGCGGCTATGGGCGGCTGGTGGCAGGGGGCAGCCAGCAGCGACGGGTGGCTGGCGGCAGCGGGCGACTGACGGCCCATGGATAAACTCAAGAAGAATTTATCTTGCACAACCAAGACCAAGAGCTCAAGATTTCAAGCCCAAGGGACGCGGATAAATATTAAATAGTGAAAATAGTAACGCTACTTCGTATAGTGTTACATTTCACTTGGTGTAGCCCCTTGGAGGGTTTGTTTCGAGACTCTTCATGTTTGGGGACTCTGTGGTGGTGTACCACCAACATGGACCTCGGCTCTTGGGGTATGTAGAGGCTGGGAACCATCTCCATCTCGAACTCTTCTTGCTAAGTTTGTACTCCTAAGACTATAGTGGCTACTGTACCTCCTGCCAGTCAAACCGCCATAGCGTCGTCAAATCTTCATGGAAGTTTATGATTCAACTTGCTGCTGATAGGCGACAGCAACATGCTCCAGATCCAATTCACAGCTTACCGTTTAATTCACAGATCAGATCGGCATCAATATTTGAATCTGTCTAACGGAATTCTGACTGTGCACAATTTCTCTCATTTTAGGCACATCTGAGCCTATTGTGATTATAACAAGTGGTATCAGAGCCCCTTGGAGCCATTTCGACCATGCCTAGATCTGGGGAAGCAGTTGGCAGAGGTGCTGGAGGCAGAGAAGACGCCCAATTACAAGGCCAACACCAAGATCCACCCATTGCTCCCGTGCAACCTAGCCTTGGCCCCTCTAGGGATGAGCCTAGAGTGTTTGGCCTTGACAAGTTCAACGGGGACAACTTTGCTGAGTGGTCCTTCAAGATGGAGAACATCTTTGACCACTATGATCTGCTGGAGGTGATGGAAGGAACAGAGAAGCGCCCCGAGAACGACCCGGAGAAGAGCACGTGGGTGCGGAAGAGTGCACAAGGCTACCTTCTACTTGGGCAAGCGTTGGGGAGCAGCCAAATCCGTCACATCAAGCCTTTTCAGCGTGAACCAGCAAAGGGACCAAAGGCATGGGATGCTCTCAAGGGTGTACACGCTCCTGCAACAGAGGCGGTGGCTGTGGTCTTGGAGCGGCAAATGGCGGCACTT